TACACCAGGTTGATGGGACTATCAGTGCACCAAGAAAAGCCAATGCTGTGATTGCAGGATCTGATAGAGTATCAATGGATTCTGATGGAATACACSAGGTTGATGGGATTATCAGGGCACCAAGAAAAGCCTTCACTGAATTTGATGACATTTCTTAATTTAGTACAAAAAAATAAAAATAAAATAAAAATAATTAGTAATTATGAGCTAAGAGTTGATAAAAGTATAAATTAGTGAAAATATTTTATCTTTTATAACATATAGGTCATCTATTTTAACATCTATTTTAACACATATTTTAACATATATTTTAGTATATATTTTAGAATATATTATCATACAGTTGCCATAGTTTTTAACATTATTCGAGCGTTTTTGCTATAAACTGTATGGGACTTTTTTTACTCAATCGCGTGACTTCAAACAACGTCAGGTCACGTGTCAACTGCTTGTTCTATAGTTTGCGCCCATGTCAGATGCATTAATTTTTAAGATATTGATTTCTGTTGTTACTCAACTTGGTACAAGCAACATAATCCAACAAACTATTGAGCCACAAATAAACACAGAATGGAAGATTCTTTCAGGTAAAGCTCTGGTAACCACTGTTACGGCAAGAGTGGAATCACTTCAGCCACAGCTCTGGTAGCCATGGTTACGGCGTGCCTGGTTTTCACCAAGAATAGCAACAGTTTCACTGTCTTCTGAGTCACTTGTGCTCACATCGTCACGTGTCGTTATTGATTCAACAAAAACGTTGTACGATCTATAGCCTTGATAGAACTGAGTTACCCTGTGAAATAAAATACCAATAAATAATGGCTATTAATATATATTGCGTAGTTTTCTTAAAAGTCTTGCTGTCTCTGAGGTTTTGGCGGCCATCAATCAAAAATATACCACTTCAGACAGCTGGAATTTGATTGAAGGAAGCCAAATACCTAGAAGTCTCGACCTATAGCTAGTGCATCCTATATCTCAATAAAAAACATATCTATACCTACCCTAAAAGTATCGTAGAGATAGCAAGTACCCCAGCTCCAATAAGGAAGGTCATTCCTCTCATGATGTGTTTTGTTGCGTGGTAGAGTGAACCGAAAACCAAATATCCAGTTAACCAGCCAATGATCTCAATACAGCCAATCACAGCAAATAACAGCCCTAAATAATTGTAATAACATCTGCATCAAACTTGTGGCTCTCACATCTCCTAATGAGACGGGAATGCTATTTTACGTAGTTGTCCAAGCCAAGGTGAAGGTCTAACCATTTGCAGATATTTTAAGAGCAAACGCAGCACCATGTAGTCAGATATTTTAAAACCCTGAGCATTGGCCCGATCGAGGCTACCTCCCGCACAAAATACCCTTGACCAACCATAAGGTTGATGTTGCTTTATTATGATCGAGCACCCAAATACCTCACGAGTTACTTAGTAGTTTCTAGCTTATTAAGTGGTGGACAACTTTGAGACTTTGCATGGTGTAAAGATAATAAAGGTGTCTGCTATTTTTTACAGCAAATATGAGAATAAAATTTAGGTCATTAACCCAAGTATTGCCCTTTTAATAAGGGGTGTCCACTGTTGACCTCTTCTTCCCTTCTGTACCACTGAKAATAATACAATAATGGACCAAATCCACTTGGGCATAATATTTCGCCCATTTCAGACCACCCATGTGTCATTCCTTTGAGAACAAGATTCTTTGTTTGAGTTGTATCCATATTCATGTGTCTTCTCACCCACAAAAGATAAACAAAACAATGATACTCTAGGGAATGACACGTGGTCTGAAATGGGAAAACAGTGGATTAGGTCCCTGTCAACCAGCATCAGGTTTGTTTATTACCTTGGTGATGAAAATCCACAATCTTTGATAAGCAAGCCCTCAATACTGCTAGTGGTACCTGGGCAAGTATTCCAGCAACAGGGACTGGAAAAAGTAAAGTAGCATTAGGTACCTACGAGGGCAGATCCAGTCAAAATTTTAGGGGGGGCTAATTGAGTTTAGGGGGAGGCTAATTGAGTTTAGGGGGGAGGGGGGGGGCTAAGTGAGTTTCTTCGGTCAACACAATGGAAAACAATATAAAAAAGCATTGTTTTTTTTCTGCTGAAGGGAGGCTTCAGCCCATCTTTGCCCCCCCTGGATCCGCCCTTGACCTAAAGTATAGCTCTGTTAATACACAAGGGATGGTGGTGATCGGGGTGCAAGAACAAAGGCTTTAGCCTTCCCATGTTTTGATTCCACACTGACTCTCCCGTGCGTAGTCTTCAGGGACCGTGTAAAGGGAGCTGTAGCTCTAGATAATATCCACTAAACTTTGCAACCTAGCCTCATCCCCCCCCCCCCACAGACACACACTTTTGCCATTTGCATACTTTTTAGCACCAGAATATAACCTTATCAGAGCTTTACAGAATGTAATGCATGTCTTGGAGTGTGGATCAAGGGAACTAGAAGGGACTAAGAAGGATATATTGTGCACAATTCCTGAAAATATCTATCTATACCTTTCCTCATGAAGGGAAATTGGAATTGCCGAGGGGTGGAGAGGGCCTGAAGGGGGTATTTTCTGTAGTCCCATTCAGAGCACTGCAGTTTAAATTTTCAATGCCTTGGGAGGGTCTGCTCTACTGTCATGTGTACTGTACATAATTCCTTGAAATACCCAAGAGCTGGTAATGATTATTTTCCTAGGACTAACCATATAAAACTAAAACCTAATTATTAAATAATATGTATAATTACCTACCTATAAACATTAATGCTGTTGTCTTTGCAAATGCAGTCAGGACAAGTGCTCCTATTGCTGACAGTAGGCCAATTTCAAGAATCCAGTGATGTGAAAGCCAAGGGACGAACTGAAAGAGCTTCACCGCAACAAGACTTGTAACAAAAATGCAAGTCATTGCTCCAGAGAAGTATCGAACATACTCCTTGCCAAAACATACTGGCCAGTTAATAGAATATGTGAGCATTGCCTCATGACAACCAAGCTGTACAACAGCAATGACAAAAAATGATACAAGATATATTGTAACAAGACGACACCAAGTAGTCCTGCATATACCATTTGAAAATAATCTACATATATTTATTACATAAAGTTTGCAGTTCCCCAGTGGTCTGCTCCTATATTCACGAATGATTGTTTCTGGCAAGAAGAAAATAATGTATATGATATTTATGACATTGAAGCCAAATACCAGCCATAATGGGGGTACCAGCCCATGGGCTTCTTCCCAATAGCCGCTTACAAACTCTGCAAGACCTTTACCAAAGCCTATTAATGTACTGAGAATAACAATCTGTATTGTTCGCTCCTGCTTGCTTGTAATATCAGCAGTGTAAGCCATGCATATGGCAATGATTACAACTGCATAACCTGAAATTCCATATGCAATATTTCCAGAGAGAAGAACATGGATTGATAAATCCAAGTTGATGACAAGAAGATGAAGAGAAACTTGTATCAGACCACCACATGAGGCTACAAGTAACACGATCTTACGGCCAGTTTTATCACTCCATATCCCTAATATCAATGAAGTAAAAACACCAGGAATTATTGCAGCAAGCTTCAAATAAAGCAACCATTGCCCTGCTTCTGATCTTAACACATTTTCATCTAAGAAATACAAGGTTGTTGAAGTTGTACTGGTGTTGCAAGTGGAGAGCAGGTCCGTCAAGTTTGTTCTTTTCGGTGGTCTTGTTTCTGCTTTGGGTTTCAGTTTCTCAAAGACATATTGCTGGCTGACTTGGTTGAGAAGTGACAGCGAGAACAGAGCCAAAAAAGCTACTGGCTCAACAGTTACTCTTTTCATATAATAACATCTCATGATGATGGTGTTTTTATTTCAACTTGATTCTAATGTTGCACCACATGCTGCTAATAAAAAAAGCAATTGTAACTTAATAAATCAACAATCTATGCAAGGGCAGATCCAGCCAAAATTTTAGGGAGGGGGGGGGGGCTAATCAAGTCAACAAATGGAAAACAATAAAAAAAGCATGTAATCCTTAAAACGTCTTATTCAAAATAGCTGTGGTACTAAACTAAGCAAAACTTCCATTGTTCTAACCGTACTATTCAACTTTTATCAGGTCTTATCAGTAGAGTGCAAACCATATATCCGTGAAATAGTACTAATTCGTACAAATATAGCACCAATGAAACATTTTTGAAAACAAAAGAAATACGTGTTTAGTGATGGATATATGTTTTGTATTCTACTGTAGGTTTTTACAATTACTATATTTGTCATTGATTGCTCAAATCTGATTTAATTTTAATCTCATATCTAGAACAAGGAGCTAAAGACCTTCATGTTACGGTACGTAATGTCACAAAAGTAGTCTGAGTTTACTGTAAAATTATATCCATATTTCTGACGGAAGCACCTTTCYAACTCAACAAATAACACAAAAAGCATATATTGAGCATTACATACTTAGATTTTGAATGATTTATTGGAATTGAAGGTTTTTTTCGCTGATTCAACTTTTTAATAAATTTGACAGGACAAACAGAAGTTTACCACCACAGCTCGCTCAAGCGTGTTTCCTAAATCCAAACTAAGGAATGATTAAACGTCAATTAAAAGCAAGCTTCTACATACCTATTGATCATATATTGGAATAATCCTTCTTCATCTTCAGGAACACTTTGAAGCATCAGAAAATGAAACTAAAAGGCACGAGGATCTAACGTGATGACTTTCTTGATATTCCGCTTTAGTTCGTATTTCTTACACAGGGAGCCCAGTTAGTAGAACTGCAATGTCACGACATCACGACATCACACTTGACGCGTATACTTCTCTTTTATATTATTTTGTTTTTCTAAGTAATGAAAAATCGAAAAAAGTGCTCCAAAAGAGAGAGAGAGAGAGAGAGAGAGAGAGAACAGACGGTTCAATATATGAAATAAAAACTGAAGAGTAAATGGATAGAAAAGGAAAAGAAAGGAAAGGAAAGGAAAGGAAAGAAAGGGAAAGAAAGGGAAAGAAAGGGAAAGAAAGGGCAAGGC